CTTTTTAAGTTCATTGACTTGAATGAAAAGGTGAGACAATAAAAATATGTTGGGAACTGTGGTTCAGGATTCAGAGTGAAATAAGTGAATCCATCTACATCTTCTCATTCTTTGTGATTTGTATACTTGTTCTTCCACAAATGCTCCATAGAGAATCCACCCAATATTCTGGATGCCTTCCTCTAAGGCTTGCTACATTTCTTGAATATAAGTGGAGTGTCTAGGCGTCCATCCATTATCACCTGCTCTCATTGGTCCATTTCCTTTTCTGATCATACATTTCCTCAGCAATATCCCCATGTGACTGTTTGAGTATAAGACATCATTGTTTATCAGTTAGGGAATGGCTGAACAAGTTGTGGTATATCATTGTGATGTAATATTATTGTGCTATAAGAAATGATGAAGGGGATGGTCTCAGAAAAACCTGGGAAGACTTAAATGCAATGATGCAAAGTGAAATGAGCAGAACCAGGAGAATACTGAACACAGTAATAGCAATATTGTATGATGATCAACTGTGAATGACTTAGATATTCTTAGCAATATAAGGATCCAAGACAACTCCAAAGGACTCATGATGAAAAATGCTATCATTCAGAGAGAGAACTGATGAACTTTAAGTGCAGATTGAAGCATACTTTTTTCATTTACTTTTTCCTTGCCTTTTTTTTTGCAACGTGGCTACTATGGAAATATGTTTTACATGAATTTCCATGTATAATTGATATCATATTGCTTGCCTTCTCAATAGGTGGAGGAGGGGCTGGGGAAAAGAGAGAATTTGGAACTCAAAATTTTTTAAATTAATGTTAATTTTTTAAAAATAACAGTATTGGTCATCATTGGAAATATTCTGAGGAAGGATGGGTTTGGAGGGAGATATGAGTTCCACCGGGGACATGATGGATTTGGGAGGCAATGTGGCATTGCAAAAAGTTTGCTGACTCTGGACCTGCATTCAAATTGAGACTGATGCTTACTACATTTATGATCTTGGACAATTAATACCAGCCATGCATTTCCCCATTTTTCTTTACGTCATTCACAACTTTGATTCCTTGGAAATTATAGTGCTCTAAGATTCACAAGACATGTGTGATGACAGTGCTGTGAATCTTTGGTGATCATATAATTCCTTGTTTTATACTTTATTTGACTTAGTAATCAGAGAGCTGTTGAACAGAAGTTCCTCTGTGGTTGTGTTTATCAAGGAATCTCATATAACCTTAGCATATAAATAAGAGATTCCTTACTGGAAGACATTGCTTAAGACTGCATCTTACTCAGCTGACTAAAATAATAGTGAACAAACTGTTAACACAGAGAAATATTGTATTTTGCATACGATTTTCCTCAGCAGACTATATCTTTATAGTTGCTTGATAAAGATGAAGTCTGCTGAGGAAAATCATATGCAAAAGCCTGCATATCCCTTCTCACTCTCATTGAGCATACTTGTGTGTAATGCATCCTTATAAAGATTTTATAAATATGAGAAAGTAGGTATATGGGGTGGGCGTTATTGATGTTTTCTCCCTCCTTTTTAATTTTAGTCAATAGCAACGATGGTTTTTAAAATATTTTTTGACATCCAAGATATCTTGTAAAGTGATACTTAATGGATTTCCTTCGTGGACTTGGTCTAGTCCCAGCTTTGTCTTCCTAAGTGCTGTTTTTCCTTTTTCCTATGGCACATTGGACATTGAGGTATTAGAATCAAAATAAGGTGGTTTCTCCATCACTGATGATGAAAATAGAATGTTAGAGAAATATTGGCAAACTTCCTCCACTTTCTAACTATTTGTCATCTCCCTGCTCTCTGGATGATATGGTTTATTTGAGTCCTCACAGTAATTTTAAAAAATTTTTTCCCTTTCTTTTGCTGTTTCAGAAGACAATACTCCTCATAATCTTCTAGAATCTTCTGTAGTGCTTTATGAATAAGTTTGGATTCTAAAGTGGGTGTTGTCTTTGGCAGTCGTTCTCTCTCTATTTTGCAAAGAGATAAAGTAATTGCTAACTAATGAGATTTCTGGACTCTTTAAGTCTCCTTGTTGTGGTAACTGTTTTATTTTGGTTATACTTTGGTTGTCATGAAGGTCGATATCTTTGCCTTTTGCGTGTCCCAGGTTTTGGCACTGATATTTTGACTATCAGCTTTGAAGCTGTTACAGTTTCACAGTGGAAAATATGGCTCAGGCTTGAGGAAAAAAAATGAAGCCAAAGGCCTGTAAGTTACTCAGAAGTTTCATGCCTATATATGATGAATAAAATGGAATGAGAAATTGCTAGAAAAGTCACAAAATTGACAAAATAAATTGACTATATTATGAGAGACAGGAAATGACTGATCACCTATATGAAAGTCATTTATGAATCAGCCATCTGCATACAGTTAAATCACCAGCTTGTTAGAACGGAGATCAAAATCACCAGCAACACTGGGTTAGAATGCAAACTTATTTGCAAAACCTTACGGAGAAAGATGGTGAAAGATTATGAGCCATATCACCTCATCAAATAGTGAAAAGGTTTATAGGAAGAAAAAGAATTTACAGAAAGCTTAGTATGAGGTTGATCTAATTGGTCCAGATTATCCCAAAAGCATTCAAAGATAAAACTGGAAAGACAATACATAGAAAAAAAAATGGAAAAAAATCTGTCAACATTTCTGGAACAAATTATTTGCTGCATCAGTGATAGTAGAACCCCCACATGTAGACTGATATATCTCTTTACCCTCCAATGTACTATACAAAGAAGTAGAAATTACCCTAAGTACAACGAAAATAGAAAGAACAAGTAGACTAGATTAGACAGAAGAGGACCATGCTGGAGGTGACATAATTTTGAGGGCTCCGAAATGTTATTAATTCTCAGGATTTTTGAAAAGATGGAAGATATTAAATGATTCAAAAAATTACAGATGATATTGCTACCCAAAGGAGGGAATTAAGAGGATAGACCATAAATTAAATGATTCTGACCCATATGCTTATTTTCTCATGTCCACAAAAGCTTTGTGAAGATATAGATATATAAGACATTCATAACTGATATTCCACAGGAGACTGCATCTTTATGGTCACACAACTGACTGAAAGACAGCAAATATATGTTCCCACAGTACTTATTTTTTTGTTGTTGCTAACTATAAAATAATATTTGATTTGGTGGAACATAGTGTTGCTTTAAAGACTTTCTTCAAACAGGCTGCAGATAGATAAATATCTTTATAGATAGATAGGTAGCATGGTGGCGCAGTGGATAGAGCTCTGGATCTGGAGTTAGGATGACCTGAGTTCAAATCCAGACATACACTTGCTGGCTGTGTGACCTGGGCAAGTCATTTAACCTGTCTGCCTCAGTTTCCTCATCTGTAAAATGGGAATAATAATAGGTCCTACATCCCAGGGTTATTGTAAGGATAAAATGAGATATTTGTAAAGCACTTTGCAAACCTTAAAGTACTAGTTACATTATGATCAATAGATAATTTAAGATTCCTTCATGGATGTAAGATAAGAGATAACTTTGTCCAATGGTCCTCTAATTATTAACACTGAAAAGACATAAAATAAGAAAATGTGTCCCTTTCCTCGAGGAGCTCATGTGCTCCTGAGGCAAAACAACTTGTACACAAGTAAAGATGAGGTGTACACAAAGTAATGTCAAGAGGGAGACAGTGCTAATTACTATGGAAATCAGGAAAATCTTCCTATGGCAGGAAGCAGCTAAGCTGCACTTTGAAGGAAGCTAGGGTATCAATAAGGCAGAGATAAGAAGGGAGAGTATTCAACAAAGGCACAGCAATGGGAAAAAGAATGTTAAGTTCAGGAACAGTTAACAGGTCAGTTTTACTAGAATACAGCATGCAGAAGCAGAGTAACATGAAGTAAAACTGGAAAAGTAGGCAGGAACCAGACAGCAAAAGGCTTTAGATGCTATCGTGAAGCGTGCATTTTACCCTAGAGGTAATAGGAAGTTATTAGAGGTTTTTCAGTGGGGAGTAATATAGGCAGATCTGTTTTTTTTTATATCAATTGATTAACTGTACGGAGGATGCATCAGAAAGGGAGAGAAACTAGGTTACTGCTCCAGTCTAGCTAATGAGAACCTGAACTAGAGTAAAGGCAATGTGTATGGAGCCAAGTGGATTATAGGATAGTGATGCTATGAAAGTAGTATCACCAAGATTTAGCAACTGGTTAGCTATGAGGTTTGAGGAAGAAGAAAGAGTCAAGGGTAACTTCATGGAGGTGAATCGATATGACCAGAAGAAAGACTGTCAGCAAAAGGGGAAGTTTGGATTCAGTCAATTAGTCAACTAGCATTTATTAAATGCCTATTATTTCAAGAACTCATAGTCTACTGGGAGAGACAACATGCAAATAACTATATAAGAATAAGGTAGATTGATATGAAATGATATGACACAATATGATAAATGCGGGTGTCGTCTCAGAGGGAAGGCGCTGAGATTAAAGGGGATTGGAAAGGGTTTTTTGTAGCAGGTAAGACTTTGGCTGAGACTTGAAGGACTCCAGAGAGGAAGGATGGGTTTGGAGGGAGATATGAGTTCCACCGGGGACATGATGGATTTGGGAGGCAATGTGGCATTGCAAAAAGTTTGCTGACTCTGGACCTGCACTCAAATTGAGACTGATGCTTACTACATTTATGATCTTGGACAATTAATTCACTTAAATATCTTGAGTCTCAATTTTCTTCATCTGTAAAATAAAAGAAATTAGACTAGATGGCCTCGGAGTGCCTTCCAGCGATACCTACAAAAACATCTTAATTTTGGATAGAGCAACAGCCCTGGAGTCAGGAAGACCTTAGTTCAAATCTGGCCTCTGACACTTATTATCTGTGTGACCTTGGGCAAGTCACTTAACCCCAACTGTCCCCTCTCCCCCTGCCAAAAAAACAAAAACAAAAAACCTAAACATCTTAATTTGTTGCTATAAACCTTTGGAAATCATGGCCTTTACCTGCAGGTTCCTCTTCAGTGACAATGATCTGTCCAGTCCAGGGTGCAGAAGGTTGACCTAAAGGAACCAAAAACTGAAAATTAGAAACGGCTCCATAATGAAGACTGGCTGCTGTTGCACAATCACCTCAACTATTTTTACCATGTGGGTGACTCATTTGGTCAATCTGATTAAGGAACTATTGATTTTCCTTCCCCACCTTTCACCCCCAAATTGTGACTAGTTCAGTCATTCCACACAATGTTCAATGGATCTCTTCTATGTGAAAGCCTCATGTTTGTAAAGAAAGCAGAAATTGGAAAATAGCTAAGATACCTCACTTGCCTTCTAAGAGCTTAATCTGGGAAAGGCAGTTAGATCTGAGCTCAAGTAAATGGCCAAATGGATGATTTCCAATAATGTTGCCCTTGTGTTTTATATGTCTATATGTAAATATGTAAATATAGATATGTGGAGCTAAGTGGCACAATAAAGAGTGCTGGACCTGGAGTCAGGAAAAGCTGAATTCATATCTGGCTTCAGACATTTACTAGCTATGTGACCCTAGGCAAATTACTACTTCTATCTGCCTTAGTCTCCTCATCTGTAAAATGAGGATGACAATATCTTATCTCCCCAACATTTATTTCCCAATGTGAAGATTTAATGAGAAAGTATTTGTAAAGTACTTTGCAAACCTTAAAACTCTATATAAATGCTATCTATCTATCTACTTATCTATCTATTTATCTATCATCATCATCATTATTATTGGTATGCCATAGTTCAATGTCTCCCCAACCTGTGGGAGGCTAGGTGTGCTCTTTTCAAACAAACTTGGGGGCAGGATTTATGTACTAAGGCTTTATTTAATATTAAGGTTTAGCATATAAACAATAGAAATGTTTTTGATAGCTAAAACCAAATGGCCTCCTAATTTTCAAAACTGTTTTGCTTGGAAATTAGGAAGAGCTATGGGTGGGACTTTTGCCTCAAAGAGGCTACTTCAAGGTAAAGAATTTCTCTGTTAAAAAACAAACAAACAAACAAACCCAACACTTATTTTTGGAATGTGCTATTATGATCATCAGAAATAGTTTTCAGGTCCTTGGATTCCATATCTTTGCAGCAAAGTTAACAAAATAAAACTTTCAAATGCAAACAAAACCAAATTTCATGAGAATGGGGAAGTCAGTGAACTGCAAGATTTCTTGGACGTGAATTTGTCTGGAAAAGATGTCTTACTCCTACCTCCCTCTAGTGGATGTGTGGAGGAATGAACACAAATACAACCTCTTGTGGGCCATTGAGTTTGTTAAATCTCTGCCTTAAGGAACATGCTTAAAGATGCTTACTTTTAAACCTGGCTCTATCTACGGGGTCCAGTGCTGCCACAGGCTCAGAAACGCGAGATGGGTTGCTTATTCCAGTTTTGTTCACAGCTCGGACACGAAATATGTAAGAACGACCTTCAATTAATCCAGTGACTGGGAAGCGAGCAAATTTGACGGGTGTGTCATTGCATTGGGACCAGATGTCTGTGCCTACCTCACATCTGAAGAAAAGAGAGCAAGGATTATGAGGAATCAACAGAAAGTGGGAGTGGCAGCCCAGGTCTGAGGCTGTAGACTGCTGCCTGCAGTCTGGGGCTCGATCTCCAGTGACCTGTCTAGCAGCAGCACGTAATGGCATCATCTACCCAAACAATCCAGATAAACAGAGAGGTCAGGCATCTTATGACTACTGCCACTATGGCCTTCAGCTGTGTCCTCGCTTCTTTAACAAGGAGAAGGAAATTTGAGTTGATTCAGTGTCCATTCAAGTCCTCTCTGAACTCCTTCCCAGAAGACCTTTTGTTCTGTGCCACCTACATGTTATGATTTGGGAGGCTGAGGCAGTCAGCAAGATTGAGGTACCTGTGTAGGAGAGGCCTAGGGAGCAAAGGAGGGGAATGTGACCATACATAGCTCCAGGTAGGCTCTGGCATTGCCTTACCAGGAGCATCTGAGAAGAGCAAAGCAGAGCAAAGGAAGTATGGATCAGTGGGAAAGACACTAAAGACTTTCATAACCTAGCCCCATCCTCTTTTCCAGTTTTCTTACATACCCCATCCCTAATACACTTAGAGCCAGTGACATTGGCCTCTTTGCTGTTTCTGGAGTAAGACACTCCATCTCCTGACTCAGGGTGTTTTCTTTGGCTGTCCCCTATGCCTGGAATACTCTTCGTCCTCATCCTTGCCTCCTGGCTTCTTTCAAGTCCCAGCTAAAATCCCACCTTCTATAGGGAGCTCTTCCTGATCCCTTTAAATCTGGGGTGGGGAGCCTGCGGCCTCCAGGTCACATGTGTGGCCTTCTAGGTCCTCAAGTGTGGCCTTTTGACTGAGTTCAAGTTTTAAGGAACAAATCCTTTTATTAAGGACATTTGTTCTGTGAAGTCTGGATTCAGTCAAAGGGCTGCACTTGAGGACCTAGAGGGCCACTTGTGGCCTCAAGGCCAAAGGTTCCCCACCCCTGCTCTAAATTCTAGTGACTTCCCTCTGCTGATTATCTCTAATTTATCCTGCATACAGCTTGTTTGTACATAGTTGTTTGCATGTTGTCTCCCCCATTAGATTGTGAGCCTCTTAAGGGCAGAGACTGTCTTTTGCCTTTCTTTGTATCGAGGCACTTAGCACAATGCTTAGCTCAAAGCAGGTGCTTAATAAATGCTTATTGATGAACTGGAGCTGGAATCAGAGGATCCAAGTTCAAATTAGACATGACCTTATGCAAATCATTTGACCTCTCTGGGCTTCAGTTTCTTTATTTATGATAGAGTAGCAGATTTCTGAAGTCCTTTACAATTCTATGACCATGTTTCCAAATAACTCTCCACCACCACCATGATACTTTAAGTTGTACTACTAGTATTTATTCCTTTATATTTATCATTGTCCTTTCCGTGTTCCTTCAAAGGTAGATAAATACTTTGAGTCCCTAACACTTTAGTGAGCTTGAAATTATTAAATAGTATTTCTCTGGAGAAAAGAAGGAATAGTATGAGGACCCCGGGTATAGAAAAGTCTAAGCAAAGGGAAGGCTAGGGAACCAAATATAAAATAGACCTATTTCACAATTTTGGTTGAATAACAATCTTTTAGAATATTCAATATCAGATTTAAGTATGCAGTATCAGTATTATTGGGTGTTACTTCTCTGGCAACAGTAGTCAGACAAAACATTTCCAACCCACACCTAACAGCTTTTGTTCTTGTTATTCAGTATTGCAGTCATGTCTAACTCTTCATGACCCCATTTGGGGCTTTCTTGGCAAAGATACTGGAGTGGTTTGCCTTTTCCTTCTCCAGCTCATTTTATAGATGAGGAAACTGAAGCAGACAGGGTTGACTTGCCAGGGTCACATAGCCAGTAAGTGTCTGAGGCCAGATTTGAACTCAGGAAGAGGAACCTTCCTGATTCCAGCCCTGCCCTCTATCCACGTCGCTATCTAGCTGCCCATAGTGGGGGAAGAATAGTTGTTATTTGTGATCCCTTCCGGTTTTAGCTCCTGTGATGCTTATTCTAAGCCAGGCCATAACAAGGCTAATCTAGTAATTCAGCTTTGGGTGTTAAAATACGATAATAGGCATGGGTTGTACCACAATTGCCGTTGTGTTAAAACTCTTCTTCTTCCCTGGCTCCCTGATTCCCTCTTCCTTCTAGTCAATATAGTATAAGTAGCCATTATAAAGGGGATAATAGCAGGAAATAAAATTATAAAGGGGAACCTGGAAGTCACAAACTGTCCCAAAGATCAGAGCATAATTTACAAGTTATATCATATATTAACCAAAATTCACATCCTGATAGTATGTGCTGAATCAGCAGAAACCATCTAGGTGCTGCTGTCAGGGTTCTGGTTCTATGATATGTAAGTTCCAGACAAATTCCAGACTTCTACAGCTCCAGACCAACAAAACAGCAAGAAGGTTCTGATAACTTTGAGATAACCTTGAAATTTTACTGATAACTTTGAAATGATTTGGATATGTGAGATGAGTTGGAGAAGAAAATGACAGAGCACTCCAGTATCTTTGCCAAGAAAATCCCCAATAGGGTCACGAAGAGTTGAATCTGACTGAAATCACTTCGCAACAACAGCAAATGAACTAAATCCCCCCAAAACCTTATAAAAACGAGATCTCAAACTCCTTTCCCCTCCCCACGGACTCCTCCATTTCCATTGGGTCCATGCTGCCTAGTGCTATCAATTCTAATCCATGGCAGTGTGAGTGATATTCTCTGCCTCCTCCCTTCCCCATCCTCTTCCTCAAACTGCCTGCCTTCCTTCACCATCCCATCCCCCTCGCCCACCACCTGCCTCTATATCCCTTTCACAGTTTCTCTCCATACCTTCTATGTTTAAAGTGTGATTGCCATCCCTCTTCCCACTGCCAATCATGGTCTTTCCCAGATAGTATCCAAATAACTGGGTGTGCCTGCTCCCATTTCGTAATTTTGTATATTATCAATTTGCCATTAAAGCCAACTTTACCAGGAAAAGGTTAGAGGATTGATTTTTAAAGTATCCTCCTCTGTATCTCCAGAATCAGCACAGCAGACGGCTAGATCAGGAAGACATTTTCCAGAGGGCAGCAAGAGCTGAGGTATAGCTTCTGATCACCATTCCCCTTCTGCCTCTTTATGCCTCAGAGGGCAAAGTAGTCAAACAACTTCCCTCCCTGTTTAAGGAACCAACCCATCACACGCCATTGGAGCCAAGACCTGTTATAGAAAGCACCAGGTGGGGCTGCCAGAGAAGCGAAAGAATAGGGGGTAGGGGCGAAAAGAAAAAGTTCTTGGCCAGCCCATGTCAGGGTGTGAGTATGGGCTCTCAATCTCTCAACAGGCATAGTGGGGCTGGCCACCCCTCCTCAACGACAGCCAACATCTTACTACAATCCCTGTGACAATTTCCTGCTCCTCCCTGAAAGGAAAAGGAAAGAGAACCCAGTCTTATCCCAAAGAGGACACCAGTCATAAAAACCAGACTCTAGGAGTAAGGAGAGGCCCAGAGACTGGAGGATGATGAGTAGAAGGGAATTCCTGGCTAGAGATAGCTGTAAAGGCCAAGAAGATGCTGTGACTAAGGTAGCAGGAAGACAGTATGTATATAATATCCCCAATTCATTAAGTTAAAAGTTGGCAATTACCGATGAAGTCAGGCCAAAGGTTGCTAATACACAGTCCCTGCTCTGTATGAGAGGTTCTTAATTAACTACAATTAACTAACTTAACTAATTTAACTAACTTAATTGTACGTAGGTCCATAGGTTTCAGTGATGGCAGCACTTTTTGCACATTAAAATAAAGATAGCATTTTATTTCCTTAGTATAAACCATGACATATTCCCTACATTCCTAGTAAAAAAAATGCCTGAATAATTATGGCTCTTAAAATTGCAAAAAGAGAGAAAAACAATCTTGTTAGTTCTAAGAATCCAGTTCTGCCATCTACATGAATCAAATTAATTAGATCATTTTTCAGGTCTTCACTCGCCCTGCATAAACACAGCTATTGTAAGATATAAGGTCTATTAATAAACTTAAAGATATCTAAGCATTTTAGATAGTAGCAGTTTAACACTAACATATTTCCCCCCTTGGGGTCAAATTAATAGCACGTATTGTATCATGTATAGGGTTTTTTTTTTTTAGCAACTATATAGTAATTATATTTAAACTACATGCATAATATGAATATAGATTTATGTGCTTACTAAACTGAGATACAGAGAGGTTAGTGCCTTTCCATAGCCACATAGCAAATAATCCAGTTCTTCTGACACCCAATCCAGACATTTAATTTTCAAAATGGCTGCAATGAAATGTACAGATTTATAGAATGCTTGCTAAATTATATGTGCAGATGATGATATGCGATTGGATGGGCAGCCCACTGAGTTGGCCTATCAGTACACATGTCTTGGACATACACTACAGATTGACAAACAGCTGGGTCCAGAACTGAAAAGGAGGAAAAGGGTGGTTTAGATTTCATCTGGGAAAGTACACAGCTCTCTCAACGACTCCAAACTGCTCCCTGAAACAAAAGCCCATCCTTTTGAATCAATATTATCCTGGGAATGTAATATGGATATGAAACATGGAAGACTACGCTATCTAAAATCAAAACTGAGGGTCACTTGAAGGATACTAGAGAGACCATGGATGTGAAGTAGCAATTTATTATCGATAATGACCTTGTGTAAAATATAATATCCAAGAGATGTCTGATCAAAAAAAGGAAGCAGGCTAAGCATGTAGCAATAGTGAATAATGGGGGGGGGCAGCTAGGTGGCACAGTGGATAGAGCACTGGCCCTGGAGTCAGGAGGACCTGAGTTCAAATCCAGCCTCAGACATTCACTGGCTGTGTGACTCTAGGCAAGTCACTTACCCCAATTGCCTCACCCCAAAAAAAAATAGTGAATAATGAAGAGCTTGTGAGCTACATTGGCACACGTAGAATGTTTAAAAAATAAAAAAATAAAAATTAAAAGACCTCAAGGAAGGCCTCCAGCATGTTGAATGGATTATTTCTTGCGGATTTATGGGAGGATGTGAATAAAGGTCACATAGGATGAGGACTTATGGATGGTTTATAATTGGCACTCTTTGAAGAGAGTATCTACACAGATGAGACCACTGATCTATTAAAGCATGGGTTCTTGGCCTCTTCTTGTGTCATGAACCTCTTTAGCAGTCTGGCGAAGCCTATGGACCCCATCTCAGAATAATTTTTTAAAATTCACAATTTAAAGAAATACTAAATTTCAGTTAAAGGTCTGTGAAAATAAGGATATATGTATCTGTGCATATGTGTGTATACATAAGATATGTATGTATATATTTCTCATCTAAATTCATGGATCCCCTTGAAATCTATCTATAGACCATGGCAGCTAGGTGGTACAGTATGTCTTGAACCCTCGGAGTCAGGAAGATGTCATTTCAAATCTTGCCTCAGGTGTTCTCTAACAAGGTGGCGCAGTGGATAGAGTGCTGGACCTGGAGACAGGAATATGTAAGCACAGGTACAGCCTCAGACACTTACTAGCTGTGTCACCCTGGGCAAGTCACTTGACCTCTGTCTGCCTCAGTTTCCTCAGTTTTAAAATGAGGATAATAATAGCACCTACCTCCCAAGGCTGTTGTGAGAATAAGATGAGACGATAGTCATAAAATGCTTTACAAATCTTAAAGGCACTTAAAATACCATATAAATACTATTATTACCATTGTTATTAATTATTATTATTATTATTGCTATATGACCCAGGGCAAGTCATTTAACCTCTCTGTACCTCAGTTTTCTTGTCTATAAAATAGGAGTAATAGCACCAACCTCACCAAGCTCAAATAAGTTAACATGTTAGCTAGCATTATCAACCCCAGGTTAAAACCTTTGTGTTCAAATATTGAAGTAATTTGAATTGGGAATCAGAGTCAAAGTCTGTCTTTATAAAGCTTGACACCGGATGTTTATGTGACCAAGAGGTAGTCAAATAAAAATGCTTCACATGCAGATGGTATAACCAATTAAACATGACTCTTCCTGCCTCCCCAAGTCCTTCAAAAGACTATACATGACTTCATACTGAACACTGACTTACTTGTCAATGAAATAGCCCAGGATTGGGCTCCCTCCATCTACAGCAGGCTGTTTCCAAGAGATGATGACATAATCTTTGTTGGCATCTAAGCAGACCACATCTAAGGGGGAAGCAGGAGCTCCTGCAATCTCAGCATCAGCATCTATATAGGAAAGGACATCATTTTTGTTAAAGTTCTCTCTAGGTTACTCTAAATCTAACTAAAAGCATTAATTACAGCTAGGTCCATTAATATGAATAATGAAGCCCCTGAAGCGTCACATTATTCTAACTCATACTACATATATCCACTGGAACGGAACCAATGACCATATTTTACATAATTATAGGACAAATTCAAATAATAATGACAATAATAATAACAGCTAACATTTATATAGTATTTACTATACGCCAGGCACTGTGCTGAGCGCTTTACAATTATTATCTCATTTGATCCTCACAACAAACCTGGGAGGTAGGTGTTATTATTATCCCCATTTTACAGGTGAGGAAACTTTAGGCAAGCAGATTAAATGACTTGCCCAGGATCACACAGCTAATAAGTGTCTGAGGCTGGATTTGAACTCAGGTCTTCCTGACTCCAGACTCATTGTACTACTTAGCTGCCTCTATATATGACCACTTCAGGGGAGTCATTATCCATACTAATTGAAAGCTATCTGTAGTCAAAATGTTTCTTTTAATTACGGGTATTTTAATGCATTAACACATATACTGAAATTTCTTGTCCACATCCTGTCATATCAAGTTTTAGCCTTTTAGCCTTTTTACCTACAGTGGAGAGCATCCCTAAGTAAGAGCTTTTACTCTTCCTTTCCTAGGAAGAAATGCTTGCTTTAAATCAATTTAAATCAATTCTTTCTTATAATCAATGTTATATTTCTTATAACCTTATATCTTGTAATCTCTCTTATAATCAATCAATAAACAAGCATTTATTAATCATCTACTGTGTGCCATGTAGTGGGGTTACAAAGACAAGAATGAAATGGTCCCTGCCCTCAAGGATCTTTCATTCTGTCAGCAGAAACATGTATATATACACATATATATTGTATGTATATATATGTTATATTGTATGCACATACACATATTATATGTATATATTGTACTGTATGCACATACATATATTCAGAATATGTAAGGTATAGAAACATAGAAACAACAAGCTGAAGGTGGCTCTTTTCACCCAAGCCTTGCCATCCAAGAAGCTTATTTTAATACTTAAATGAGCTATGAGCACGGAGACGATGCCTCGTCTCCAATTATATTTGAGATTTGCTGCATCTGAAAGAGTTACTGTATGGTCAACCTTTTGACAAGTTTCTTTGAACCTAACCAGCCTGGTTCTTATAAAACGGACCATAACCAGGCCATAATTGAAGTCTTTCCACCTTGGCAAAGCCCACCAAATATTGTGGTTTTCTGGAATAACATTCAGTGCCTTATAGTTACTGCTGTACTATAACAAGGTACTGGTGTAGGACTTCAGTGGAATCCAGGAAGCATTCCAGTTAATGAAAGGAATTCCCATTGGTCAATACAAGTCGAGGCATGCCCCAGAGTTGGACAGTTTTGTGATTTTGAAAACTCAGATGATAGGAATTTTTAAAAAGGCAACTAAAACAAATAACCCTACTTTGCCTTCTGGAAGCATATGCAAACCAGGCTCTTGAACCCTGGAGTTTTGCCCATCCCTAAGGCTGACATTTTGATTTTGGAAGATAAAGGAAAATATATTTGCTGAAATAAAATGTTTCCAAGCCAAGCATGGTTAAGACAGGAGTTCTTAAGCAATACCAACATCCGAGTTTATCTGATCTGATGATAGTAAAAGTCTAGGACTGCACAAGGGCCTGTGACTGTTTATGAAATAGGATACTCCTGCATAGGGGCTTACTCAGTGCTGTGAGTCCTGGCTCAGTTGAGACTGTAAGCTAAGATTGTGTTTTCAGGAGAAGAGGAAATAGAAATGAAATCTTTGTAATCTTTCCAAAGAATCTATTCAAAAAGCTTTAAGACTTCAAGTCATGGCTTCTCCAAGGGCCAGAAGCTCTTTTGCCAATGCCAATGATATTTGGTCATTCCCTTTTCAAGCTACAAGGAGCTAAGACACCAAGAAGCCACACACTGGAAGGAGAACAACATTAGCTAAGCAAACATTTTCTTTTCCTCAGATCTCTTTGCATCTGAGAGACTTTTTCTAAGTTGGGAAAATGTTTGATAACAATTCAGAAATATTCAAACCACAGGATATTAGAGAGGGTTCTAGTGGAAAGATAGCAACATAGAAAATTAGGAAAAAAATAAATTCAACTTCTAGGCAGCAACTTGCCACTTCCTAATCATGTGACCGCGGGCAAATTGCTTACCTTCTCTGAGACTTAGTCCCCTCATCCGTAAAGTAAGGAAGATGAGCTCTAAGATCCCTCCCATCTCTGAAAGTCTGTGATCTAGTCCAACCCCATCATCTTACACGTGAAGAAAATAAAGCCCAGAGAAGCTAAATGATTCATTCAAATTTTCAAATCAAGTTAATGGCAGAATCAGATCTGAAACCTCTATCTCTTTCCTCCCAGTTCTTTGCTTTTTTCCCCCCATCTTTCAGTATCATTCTAAGTTCAATACATCAGTATTCTAGTGCTTTGCCTAAAGATGGTAGGCATACCACAAAAACCTGTCAAATGGATGAATTCAATCCATTTCATAGGAGATATGGTGCCTCTCCCTAGCTACTACATAATGAAGACCTGGAGTCAAGTCTTGCCTCTAACACACACTGGCCAAGTGTCCCAGAGCAAAACTCAAACTCTCAGTGCTTAAGTAGAGAAGTCCATCCGGCAGCCCACTTCAGGTCTAGAAACCTTTAATGTAACCAGCTCCTTAAATTCAAAATCACCAGATCCGTGGCTTCTCTTTGTGTGTCTGTACACACACACTCTCACATTCATTCACACTCTAACATACCTTCTCTTCCCACATCCAATGTACATGCTGCCCTCCTGGGATAAGTCCTCCTCTCTCATTTATCATTTTTCTTCAGTATAATCAAGTGCTAATGTAAAGTTTCTCCAACAAACACCCTTGTTGTTCCTCTCTATCTCAAAAGCAAAGGCACAATACCCATTTACACACTCTAATATATACTCAGTTATACACACTAATACTATTTAATTCATTTTTATCTCAAATACCCTGTAATTATAAGACAAATTATATATATTATATTAGGAGCTAACAATATTTTTGTAGGTAAGCTCAAAAATGAGTAATTTGACCATAAGAGTACTGAGGTACTAACGGCATATTTTAGATTTCAGCTAATTATACATAAATGCACATAGTTGAAATATTTGCAATTCAGATAACTTTACTCTCCATGAAAATATAAAAATGATCATCTGAGACACAAAATATCTATTTTTTTTCACTTTAATATTCTGATTTGAAAAGTTGACAATTTGTATTGGTAAAGGGAGTTTCTTCACCTGGGAATTACACCAATTAAATTACAGATCCAATTTATAACCTTTTCCATAATATTTCTTGCCCAGGGAATGAGCCAGGACTTGTCCCAGTCAAATTTCTCAAGGTTAAGGCTATAGTTAGATAACTGTGATAGTAGTGGAGTTTAAATAAACTGCCAGAAAATAACCTCCCTGCAAATGTGATAGTTCTTAATACCATAGATTGGGAGTATACATTCCTCATAAGGGAGAGCTATTCTTTCCTAAAATTTTGAGATTGCTGGAGGGTGGAGTAAGGATTGTTAAATTCTAGATTCCTAATGTTACCACAGTCAGAAAGCCAAGTCAATTGATCTGTGGAATAGAAAGACATTAATAATTGCCAAAAGCACCAACAATATAGATGCAGATATAGATATAGATGATGTAGATATATCTATATTGATATAGATATAGGTATAGATTTAGATTATATATATAATAGATATTGATATAGGTATAGGTGTTGATATAGATACAGATCTAGATCCATAGATAGGTATAGATATAGATTATAAAGATATGATAGATATGGATATAGGTATAGTTATAGATTCAGATCTATAGATACAGATGATATAGATATAGTTATATCTACATTGATATAGATGTAAGTATGGATATAGATTTTATAAATATGATAGATATGGATATACATGTAGATACAAATACAGTTATAGATGCAAAATAGATACAGATGATATAGATAGTATAGATAGGCTTCTGGGTTAAAGTTGCTATGGAGTTGACTAATTTGACAATAGGGGCAGGTGAATAGTAGTTAAGATAAGTACCCACAAAGTTTATAAGGGTTAAAATTGCATCAATAATAACAGTATAGGAGAAACATTTCAAGTGGAAGAATTGGGTAATGAGGAACAATGTAAATTAAGGATTCTAATTCTATTTCACTATAGCATGTCCAATTATTATGTCTATTACTAATTATTATTATTATCATTATCATTATGTAGTGCTTATGTATATTATCTCATTTGGTTCTCACTACCACTCTTATCAGGTAGGTGTTATTATTACTTCCTTTTTACATATAAGGAAACTATGGTTCAGAATGATTATAGCTAGTAGGAAGCTAACATGGGATTCAAACTCAGGTCTTTTCAATTCTAAGTCCATCATTGTAGCCACTGTACCCAGAATTTATTTCCATTCACAAGGAAATATCTCCACCAACTTACTTCCTATCCGCCATAGACTATTTTTAGTCCTTTAATGTTGATATACTACCACCAAGTGACTGGTGGTTCCAAGAGTATGGCCTTATAGTTTGAATGGCCAAGCTTCCCACAGGCATGATTAACAGAGATTAACATGCTTTGGAACAGCATCTTGCTTTCCCCATTTAAAAAAAAAAAAAAGAGTATCAGGTGAAGGAACTGGGTAACAATAGAATTAATTAAGAATTCTAGTTCTATATCACTATTGCATTTCTATGACTACCAATAACTAGCATTTATATAGTGCTTTATGTATGTTATCTTCAACCCAGACTGGTTTCTTTTAAAATAATTTGTTATCCTCACTATTTAACAAAAACTGCTGGGAAAACTGGAAAATAGTATGACAGAAACTAGGCATAGACCAACATCTTATATCCTATACTAAGATAAAA